CCCCCAAATCCCCTACCAATTCTCATCTTCAAGACTCACAAAGTGACACAAACGTAGATCTCATGTTACTCGATGCTCCCACTTCTAGTGATAAAGAGATCGCAGGAACTAAACTAAATACTCCCACTTCCAGTGTTAAAGAGATCAAAGAAATCACTCTAACACACCGGAGTAGGATGTATGCACCATGGAAATACTCTGTTATTGTTAAGTTGGTTGGGAAAAGAATCCAACATCAATATCCAAAAGAAAAAATCACAAAGCTATGGAAACCCAGTGAACCGTTTCCTCTAATTGATTTGGGACTTGATTTTTTCATTGTTAAATTCTCCAAAGAAGAAAATATGTCCCTAGCCCTACAAAACGGACCATGGTTCATCAATGGTTATTTCCTCTCAACAAGACAGTGGGAGCCAAATTTCGTGGCAGGCAAAGCAAAACAAATCCATACGGCAGTATGAGTTCGTTTACCGTAACTCCCCGCGAAATTCTATGATGGATTAATACTGAAAAAAGTTGGTAACTCTATAGGGAGGCTGCTCAAGATAGACGCTTGCACCAGCTCCACACTCAGAGCCAGATATGCGCGACTCTGTGTTGAACTACCACTAGACAAGCTAGTTCAAACATGCATATTAATTGGTACACACCTTCAACAGATTGTGTATGAAGGACTAAATTTCCTATGCAAGAACTGTGGCCACCTTGGGCACACAGCTACCACATGCACGCTCATATCAACAAAGTCAGAGCAACTACAAGAATCCAACAACAAGGCACAAAACTATGCCACTGACGAGAGCAATCCACTCCCCCCACCAGAAGATCAATGGCAAGTAGTCACCTTCAATAGGCGGAAAACCAAAGAACATGAGAACCTGTTGAAAATAAACGCAAGAATTCCTTAACAAAAAATGCACTACCAGGTAACAGTATAAATGTAAAAATTTATGATGCGGCAACAGGTAAGTATCTCAACTCTCAAAAATTAGTTTATAGAGCTTTAAATGCCCCTGGTGCTCCAACTAATACTGACATTAGAGACCCTAACAATATTAAAAAGAGATATCCTCCTACAAAACAGGATGAGGATTTAATGCCCATCTCAAATAAATTTGATTCTCTCATAATTCAAGAATCATCTTCCAACTCAGATGAAAAACAGTCGACCACTCCCAGTGACAAACATTCCCATCCGTTAACTCCTAGGTGTAGGGGCGGATTTACATGGATTCAAGCGGTGTCTCGTCGAAATTTTTTAATATATATATAAACAATAAGTAAAACAGAAATACAAGAAAAAACCATTAAAAGTGACACCACTTGTAACAAAATAACTTTGTAGTCTAGTGGTTGACAGCTTCAAGGTTATTGTGAGAGGTCTTGGGGTTTGAACTCCCTTGACTTCACAAAATATTTTTTAATTGTTACTGGCCTTTTACTAGAAATTGCGACACCACTTACCACTGCCTAGGTGCACCATAGACCCCACTGAACACGCCACTCATATGGATACAAATGGCAACCCCAATTCACTTGACAACTCAAATCTCACAAATCCACCTCTTTATACGCATAATACCCCCTCTTCCTCTAAAGACCAAGAATCACAACAACACTTGGAAAACGGTTCTAGCCTAGCACCAACTTTACACTCTATTACTCCTCCTATATCTTGCACTCCAAAACACATTGTCCGGTCACACCATTCTCTTCAAAACACAATTTCTCTCATAACTCCTATTAAGGAAATCAATGGCAAATCTTCCCCCCTTCCCACCTCAAATCCCATTCCACCCACCAAACTTTGTGTCACCACCATCAAATCCCAACCAAGATCCCCAAAGCTGGATAGAACAGGGTCTACAAGGTCATGCAACCTCCTTCCCGATGATCATCAATGGCCAGGAAGTATGGATTATTTTACAGAATCCGAACTTCCTAGCACAACTAATTTCGGAAGGGATGGCCCTAGCAATGGGGAACTATATAAATCACATGTAGTTAGCCAATGTTATAGAACCATTATCCCCAACCATAGCGCCTGCACTATTCCACAACATGCAAGCCCATTGGAATCTTTTGCATCACTTCAACCCATTTAACAACATGGAGCTATTGTACCAGCTCCCCTTCTTAACTTCGGTCAATCAAGTGACCGATCACCCCATCTTTTACCCATGGAAACCAATCCCCCAACACAATACAATCCCCATGGACATCCACAATCAACATCACCCTTCCAAAAAGAAAGAACAAGAGGATCAAGAGATACCATGAGAGATGGTAGAGGAACTAGTAGTTCCACCGGTCAGGGGATCGTTCACCGAAATTTCAAGCATCGGAGAAGAATCTCTCATGCTATTCCAATAATTGGAGGACAGGAAATATATTCTCAGGTGTCGAGTAGCACTTTACAATTGCTCCATCGACATTCGCCCTCCGATTCTACAAGAAACAAGGAACTTTGTTGTGGTATTGAGCCCATCCCTGTGGCAAGTCAATTATCTCCTACACGAAGGAGTAGGGAAAACCTCAACTCAAGTCATCCCCTAATGAATAGCCCAATGAGTCTAGTTGTCTGGAATATCCGTGGTGCAAACAATGATGAATTTAAAAGAAATTTTAGGGAGATGCTTCACACTCATAACCCAGCCATGGTTGCCTTATTGGAAACCAAAATGCTTGATCATGCACCTCTCCGTGATGAGTTCTACTTTACTGATATGTTGGAGGTCCTAACCGTAGGCCATGCTGGAGGGATTGTGGTGCTTTCGTATGGGAACCTAGTTACATTAAACCTAGTAAGCAGATCCCACCAAGAAATCCATGCGATGCTCCAGGTATCTCCTATCCAACCTCCCTGTCTTGTTAGTATTTTATATACTAGTACATGTCTTAATATGCGTAAAAATCTCTGGAATAGCCTTTGTGCCATAGCCGATACTTTTCAAGGGTCGTGGTTAGTGGGAGGGGATTTTAATGAGATCCTATCCCAAAATGAAAAATAGGGAGGCATACCTATTAATACTAATCGGTCTTCTCATTTTTGGTCTTGTGTGAATTATTGCAATTTAATAGACCTTGGCTTTAAAGGTGCTAAATACACTTGGACTAACCGAAGAATAAATTCCGGTGGTCTAATTTTAGAACGATTGGATAGATGTCTTGCCAACACTATATGGATCAACCAATACCCCGATGCTTTCATCACCCACCTCCCGAGAACCCACTCAGATCATGCCCCAATTCTTCTTCAATTTAAAAGATCTGGGCCTCCTTCTAGTAAGAAACTCTTTAGGCTTGAAACCCCGATGCTTTCATCACCCACCTCCCGAGAACCCACTCAGATCATGCCCCAATTCTTCTTCAATTTAAAAGATCTGGGCCTCCTTTTAGTTAGAAACTCTTTAGGCTTGAAACCTACTGGTGCTATCACACTGAGTTTGAAATCATAATAAAAAACTCCTTGCAGGATAGACACCTCCTTGAAGCCACAGACTATTTTCAACATAGAGTCACACTCTGGGCAAATGCCACCTTCGAAGACTCTAATAAAAAGAAAAAAAGAATCCTTGCAAGACTACAAGGAATCCAATCCTCCCCAAAGTACCACACTAGCCAATTCCTCTACCTTTTAGAAAATGATCTTATATCAGAATATAATAACATCCTAAAAATAGAAGAAGATTATTGGAAAATTCATTCCCGTTTAAACTGGCTCAACGATGGGGACGCCAATACAAAAATCTTCCATCTAAGTGTAGTTAATCGTAGAAGAAAAAATAACATCTCCTTCTTTAAGGATAGCGAGGGTAATTGGATTTATGATCCGGCTCAAATGCTAAGTCATACTTCTCAACATTTCCAAAGAGCCTTTCAAACTGACCACATGGAAACACCTTTGCGGATTATCCAAAATTCTCAAACTTGCTTTGACAACTTAGATCTCTCCTCTCTGGACTACCCTTTAAAAGACTTTGAATTTTCCCGTGTAATCTTCTCCTTCAAACCCTTCAAGGAGCCCGGCCTAGACGACATTCACCCCTTTTTTTATCAAAGATACTGGCACATAGTTAGGAATCCTGTACTAACCTTCTGCCATAATTTTTTCAAGAATTTTTCAATTCATGAAACTCTTAACTCTACCTATATCTGTTTCATTCCAAAATTTCAAAACGCAAATAATCTCAACAATTTTCGCCCTATAGGTCTCTGTAATACCATCTATAAGGTTATTAAGAAAATTATTGTGAACAGACTCAAGCCCTTCCTTGATAAATTGATTGGCCCATACCAATCTAGTTTTCGCAAAGGTAGAAGAACTAGTGATAACGTCATTATTATTCAAGAAATTATAAACCACTTCCAAAAGATTAGGGGTCGCCAGGGGAAGGTCCTCCTAAAAATTGACTTAGAAAAAGCTTTTGACAGACTTAAATGTGTCACGACCCAAATCGATGGGCCGCAACGGGCATCCGGTACCTTATTCAATCGAGTACATACGTAACATATCTTTCATATCATACTATTATAGGTAAAAGAGCCATAGAGGTTGTCGTGAGATAAGTAGAATAAAACATGGGGAAATACTCGACATTGGACGCCCCAACATGTAATCCAAACTTATACATATGACATACTGGCTTACAAGACCAAAAATGATCACTCGTACACTAAACGTAGGCCGACAAGGCAATACAAGTATCCGTATACATGACATATGTCTACAAGCCTCTAAGAATACATAATTGTCATAAAGGTCGGACAGGGTCCCGCCATACCAAACAATACACGTCTAATTTATACTGACCAAACAAGCAACTCCGGAGCAAATGGAGCGCACCAACATCGTCCACTGAGCTGATAGCCTACTTGGAGGACTCTATCGGGACCTATGGGCATGAAACGTAGCGTCCCCAGGCAAAAGGGACGTCAGTAAAAATAATGTACCGAGTATGTAAAGAATGAAAATCAGTAACAATAGACTTGAGAGAAACATGGAGCAAAAGACTCGACATGTACGTCTGAATAACTCTGTGAATCATTAATATGTATAATGCTGTGCATGTGCGTAAAAATATTGTGTCGTGCATAGGTACATGTGTTCATAACATCATCAAGCCTTTGAAGGCATCCCATCATATCATCTCGGCCACTGTGGGAAAAATCATCAATGTATACCAGCTGATCAGGTGATGGTGCGTATATAACGCCATCTTGTCATGGGTCAATGTACATGTATAAATGCATAAGAAATACGTTAATAAGATTTTCTTGGAATGCCATCAAAATTCATATGCCTTTCGGATAAACTTTATCAAATACGTATTTTTCTAAGACCTATGAACAGAAGATATAATAATAATCAACATGGGGAATCAAGAATATAGACACCCCTAGTATTTCTATGAATAGAGTCATTTATGAAAGTTGTGTATTTTCTTGTTTCGTTCGTGTCGTATAGATCATGCCAAACAGAAAGAAGTGGTAGCCTTAACATACCTGGACAGATTCTCTTGAAAATTCCTAACACGCGTCTTTTGTGATGAACACGTAACGACAGATCGAAGTAGGGGAAAATCCGTATGATATTCTTGAGAAGGATTGCACCGTAGTCCCTTAGAATCGTAAAATTTCGTTGCCTTTACGTAGTATAACTTTGTATAAAATCTCACGTTTTTGGAATTCTTGAAGATCGATGAAAGCTTACGTTACAGAATTGTTGAAAGCTCACGTTATTGAATTATGCAAGCTCACGTTATTGAAAGATGAAAGCTGCATACTATTGAATCCTTGGAAATCATACTTTAACATTTGATATATGCTAAAGTAGAGAAGCCTTTTATTGAATGGGTTTGGGCCCACTTAATAAGGCTTATTTTGCCACCTTTCAAATTGATTTGTGAGTCACTTAATTTGGAGGATCGGCTGCCAGGTTGAGAAATTTAACCTTTATCCAATTATTCCCTAATTATTTAGGTAATATCTTATTACTCAATAATTAATCAATTACCCATATAATTAAAAATTATCTCAACTTACTTAAAATATTACTCACTTTTAACATACCTTCTACACCTTACTATCATGGTCATGTGGTACCTTGTGTGGTACTAGTCCATAAATATCGGGTATTTTAGCTCAGGCCGTATTTTATCCCAAAATGCCAAACTTCGACGAAACTCATTTTTTTCCGATTTGCTTACCCTCTCACCTTCACGAATTTACTTATCCCTTGTTTGAAATAGTATAATACTTATAATCCCAAAATAATCTTATTCTCGAGCTTACGTCGATTAACTTACGACGAAACTTTAACATACAAAAAAATGTGGGATGTAACACCTCATTTTCGAACTTTCCTAAATTTATTTATGGCGCACTTTCACGTATGAAAATATGGGATGTAACAGAATGGTCTTTCATATACTGTACTTTACTCTTCTACAAATTTCCCCCGCGCATCACTAAACTTATTATGAGCTGCGTTAGCACTTCTAGAATTGCTATCCTAGTCAATGGTTCCAAAATCGAATTCTTCCAACCATCACGAGGCATTCGACAAGGCGATCTAATGTCTCCATATCTCTTTATCCTTTGCATGGAACTATTGTCCAAATACATTAATCACCAAGTTAATATTGGTCTTTGGGACCCGATAAAGCTCAATCCCACTGGCCCATCTCTCTCTCTCATCTATTCTATGCAGATGACTTAACACTCTCAGCCAATGCCAACTTAAAGTCCATCCACACAATAAAGCATAGCCTCCTTTTCTTCTCCTAACTCTCGGGGCAAAAAATTAACAATTCTAAATTAAAAATCATCTTCTCACGAAACTGTGATACTCAAACCAAAACTCACCTTGCCAATATTCTTAACATTCGAATCAGTGAAAATTTTGGTAAATATTTGAGTTTTCCCATCCTCACTCGCAAACCCAAGGCATCCGATGTTCGCTATATCATTTACAATATGAACACAAAGCTTGCCAGTTGGAAAACAAACTTTCTTTCAATTGCAGGAAGAACAACCCTCGCCAGATCAACCTTCAATGCCATCTCAAACTATGTAATGCAATATATCATGCTCCCCGCCTCCACACTAAAGCAAATTGACAAAATTCAAAGAGACTTTATCTAGGGCTCTACCACGCTGAAAAGGAAAATTCATTTTATCAAATGGTCCACGATCACTCAGCCAAAGCACTGGGACTCAGAAAAGCGGCTGAAAAAAATCTGGTATCTCTAGCGAGTCTTTCCTGGAGACTCTTCAATAATCCTAGCTCTATATGGGCCACAACTCTTATTACTAATTACAGCCACAAGAGAAACCCCACTCCCGTTCTTTCATCTGGAATAACATTCTAACAGGTTAGAAAATCTGTAACCAAGGCTTGCAATGGATTATTGGTCCAGGTAACATTAACTGTTAGTCCTCTGCATGAATTTCGGGGCTTCCACCTTTAAATACCATCATGCAGGGGCCGATGAACCAAAATGACCAAGCCCTTAAAGTCAAAGATCTTTGGACGACAAACAATTAGGATCTCTCAAAACTATCCTTTACTCTACCTACAGAAATAAAGAGCAAAATTCTCTCCATTAATCTTGACTCCATTAATAACACTAGAGATATTCCCACTTGGGCCATACCTCAAATGGTATCTTTTCCACCAACTATATGAATAAACTCATCTCCTCGCCGCATGCCAATAACTTTAAGTTCCAGTGGATCTAGAAGCTCAACACGCTCCATAAAATAAAATACCCCCTTTGGCAATGCTCCTATAATCGACTCCCCACCCAAAGTTATTTACATCAAATTGGCCTCAACATTGACATTACCTGTTCTATATGCAAAGGAGCGGAGGAGACAATTACGCATGGTTTCTTCGAATGCCCCATAGCCATCAAATTCTGGAGCGATGCGCACCTCAACTTTCTTCCCCTTCACCAAACTCGGAACATTGGCTCACTATTTTAAAAGATTCTAACATAGCATTGGATCAGTGAGATATCTCTCGGGATATTTTCTTTTCATTTGCTATTTGGAATCTGTGGCTTAACATAAATAACTTATTTAATAATAAATGCAACCAACTATTGCTTTTGACATGGTTATCATGCGCTGCAAAGAATTTAAGTATTGTACTAATTCCCCAAACTTCATACCTCCAATTACTACTATCTCTATCAAATGGCTCCCGCCAATAAATTTCTCCCTAAAGCTCAACATTGATGGTGCCTTCAAAGGGAAATATAAAAAAGGAGGCATTGGTGAAATCTTTAGGAATAGCCGGGGGCATTGGATTTTGGGATACTACAAATCTGCTATTGCCTACACGCCTGCCTAATGGAGCTCTTAGCACTCAAAACTGGCCTACAACTTGCTTTTGAAAAAAACTTGGTTAACTTAGAAATTGAAAATGATGCAATAGATATATTTTGTCTACTTGAGAATGATACTTGTTCAATATATTCTAACTTGGTTACTGAGTGCAGGTCATTACTGAAGAAACCGAAGAATCCACCGATCCGGTATAACTTCAGGGAGGGAAACAAAGTTGCTCACTTTTTGGCCACCCAGGGATCCAAGCAAACAAACAATAGCCCACTATCTCTTTTGGAACAACCCCCGAATGCTCTTTTGAAAGCAGTCCGTGATGATAGAATTGGATGCACAAATTCTAGGCTAGTATCTACTACTGTATTTGCTAAGTTAGTTGAACTTGGGAATCCATTTGTAACTTGCACTCCTAATGTAAACAACATGGTGGTAGCACGGGCGAAGCTACATTATCACAATGGTGGTCAATTGATCACCTTTTGTCAAAAAATTATACTGCGTAGATAGGTAAAATATTAGATTTTAGAGGTATATGACATATATTGAACACCCTTTATCAGAGAATTTTTTTACTTCTTTCAAGTTTGAACACCTTTGAATAAATTTCTGATTTTGCTACTGGGTGGCTGTACCTATGAATGAGCCCAATGGGACTCTTACTCTGTATAATAGTAGTAGTTAATGAATGAAAAGTTCGTATTACAACCAAAAAAGAAGAATTATTGTGAAAACTAAATAAAATGGCAGTAAGAATGTGCCTAATATTTTGAGACAATCTAAAATGAAAAAGCGCATAAAGAAGTATTCAGTTCATGTTCATTATACTTTTTTAGTTGTTGACGTAACGATAAATTCATTAGCTATCATAATGTTATACAATTCTTTTATTGATACTAAAACAAAAGAAATTTTCATATACTTGAAACCAAGAAGCAATTTCTACTATCAGTTGCCTAACAATAATTTTTTTCTTTTTTGTATATACTCCGATTCACCCTCGCACATAAGCAAAGGGAAAAAGCCCCCATTCAATTTGTTGGAGATCTCAACACTAATCTAACGTGCAGTGATCTCAACTCAAAATAAAATAAAATTAAAAAAAAAAAAAAAAAAAAGAATCAGCTAAATATATGCTAGTATAATTTTTTTTAAAAGTCAAATATACCATTATTACCTAATTAACTTTTGCACCGGTTTATAGATGAGACTAAGGGTGTTAAACGGGTGGCCGGGCCGGGCCGGCTAGGGAAAAGTTGAAACCGTCCGGGTTTCAAATCGGGCCGGTTACGATTAGAGTTTACCGGGCTTAACAGGTCCAGGTCCATCCGGGTAAAAAATGAACCGTAAGGGTTACGGGTCCAAGAGGTCGTGTCGGGCCCCGGGTTGGTGTAATTTTTTTTATATATATATTTTGTATAACTATTGTAATTTATATTAATATAAAGTAAAAATATAAAGAATACAATGAAGAATGGAAAAAATTTGCACTTATAAATTGCAAGTGCTACATTTATTTCAAAATTCAAACTTACAAATTGAAAGGTTTACATTTAATAACAAGTAAATTAACGAAAAAAGAGTAAATTCAAAGGTTTTGCATTGCCTTAGTAAGTTCTTCATAATCAATATGAACTGATTGACCTTCTTCTGGAGTGTTAAATTCAGATGGGTTACCATGTGTTAATATATCTCCAAGTTACGCGTCTTCTAGGCTATCAACATCTTCACGTCCTTGATTTCTTCATTCCGATCTAATCAAATCTCTGAAACATACTAAAACTTCCAAAGCATTGCTTTCCAATGAGTGACGGGTGCCTCCAAGTTGTTGTCTTACTTGCTAAATGCACTCTCTAATGCAACAATTGAAATTGACACATTTAACTCTATCAGTACCTACTATTTTGTCAAAAAAAATTCAAACCTTACTTCTTTTTCTCCAATTAGTAGTCAGGGCCACAAGTGGTCTACTACTAGCACCACGACCACCACCGCTGCTACCAACTCTAACACTACTAGGTGTAAGTCGTGTCTCATCTTCAATTTCTAATTCATTATATTCTCTACCGAAATCTTTCTGTAATTGTTCATAATCTATATTATTATCAGGTAATGTTTCAGAAATATGTTCAGAGTTATTTATATTACTACCAGATTCTGAAGTAGTACATCTTTTTCTATTTCCTCGATTAGAACCTTATTACAAACTCTTTTTGCAGCATTAAACATATTGTGAAAATTTAACTACTAGCAAAAATTAAATATGCAAATAAAATAGTAAATAAGAGAAAAAGTTAGAGGGAGTGCACCGAATTCGGCAATAAATTAAACACTTGATGATTTCTTAACTCCAATGTTACCACGAAGAAACATCAATTGTTCAAACTTCAAACTTCAAATAATAAATAACACGATAAATTAAATTCCAAAAAAAAATGAGAGCCAAATACTTGATTGTACTTTAGGTGAAGAATGAAAGAATGATAATTGAGAATAATTGAGAATATGAGTTTGAGAAATGAGAGATGAGGGAAGGAATGAAGAAA